GGAGCGTTTTGTTACCATGTCCACCACCTCTTCTCCCCCCGCGGACACTGCCCCGATGGCACCAGGTTATTTTAATTTGCTTAATTATCTGCTGTGCAGCTGGAGTCATCACAGGGAGCCCGTGACCCGCTGGTTCCAGAGGCCTCTCCCCCCATTTTAACCTCGAATTCCAGCGTGAGGTTCAGTCCATGTGCGGAAAGTGCACACAGGGCTCCCAGTTCACCAAGCTTGCCCATGTGTAAGGGAGGGCGAGGTGCTTTCAAAGGAAATCAGATCTGAGTGAGATAATGTAATGTTTTATCTTGTTTCAGAGCCACCAACTCTGACAGAAGCAGACTTTGTAAGTACGATTTAGAAGGCTGCTATTTTTCCTCTGGCTTTTATTTTATTTTTAAATAGCAAATGTAGAAAAAAGGTGTATATTTTCTTTTCTTCTTTTTGCCAAATGAGTGTGATAGAAGCTTTGGCTTAGTAACAATGGTGCTGACTGGGTACAAGACCTTTTTACAGGTACATTTTTAAGAAGGGGCTCATTGATCTTTGTAGTGGATGCTATTCACTGTTAAAGTTTGTTTACATAAATGGCCTCATTTAATTTCTTTAAACTCTTTAATGAAATTCTATGAGAGAAAGGTTTTATATCCATGGTTTTATCGTGATGAGGCTATGCAGTTGCTGGTTGTAGTAAACATCACTTGATGGTGTTGATTGAAAATAAGTGGTCAACTTATAGTTATGGTTCCTTTCAAAATGTACTAAATGTTTTCACGTCAGACTTCTGGAGAGTTGAGTAACAATAAGTACTTTGCCACATACATTATGTATATTGTCCTTTAGGCGAGTACTATATTTAGGATGGGTTTTATTGTGTTTCTTACTGTGGATTTAATGAACTTGTCCAAGGTTAAGCAGCTAGATAGGAGGTAGCAGAGCCTAATTCCTGCTATCGTCTGAACTGGATTTCAAGAGCTATAGCGACTTCTCTGTATTATTTGCTTATGTCCTCCAGCACTTATTTCTCTTGTTGGCCAATTATCTTATTTGCTTTTGGCTTTTTATTCAACAAACATGAGTACCTTCTAAATTCACAGTGTAGTGATCAATGCTGAGGATACGTCTTGAAAAGTTCACAGTCTAGCAGGGGCTCTGAAGAGGAGAGGGTTAGGGCTGTGCCCTTCCAAGCCTTTGGCCCACTACCAAGAGAGAGACCAAGGGAGAGAGGCACATAGAGGACACCACAACTCCTCCATCTTCTCATTGCCTTGGTATAGCTGTGTATCGGCACATTTCTTTAAGCGGCTTCCTGAACTATTCTTCATTCCAGCCAGAGGTCAGCATGTCTGGGGCCAGCTAATCTTTCTCATGCAACTCCAGCATCTGTGCTCCAAAAAGCCCTCAGCAACATCACACTTAACCTCGGAGCAGTCTGCTGATCTCTTCAGGGCTTTGTAACTGTCCAAGCCTCTATCAGTCACTCCTCCTTCTCTTGGTTCCTTTGATGCCACTATCTCCCAGTTCTTCCATCTCTCATTTTATGTCCCCCTTCTGGCTCCTTTTTTTTCTTTGCTGGTGAAAGTGTTGACCTTCTTCAGGATTCCGTTTGACAGGCTTTCTCTCTGGGAGCTCCTCTTCTGCTAGTTTCAGCTACCCTTATTTCACAGGGCTTCCAAACTTACTATGTATCGGTTAATAATGCGGATTTTTTTCAATAGATGGAGTTACACATATGTTGATATATATGCGATTTGATATGTATGCTATTTTGTTGTATTGACAACAAGCTTCAAACTTCATATGTCAAATTTTCTGAAGATGTTAACATCATAGATATTTTTACGCTTAAAAATGTCGAATTTTGTGCCCAAAAAAGAGCATTTGCGGGAAGCTTTAATTCATTTATTTTGAAGGAAAGTGTTTCTGAAAGTTATCGTTTACTTCAGGAAGCCTATGGTGAACATGCTCCATCTCAAGATACTGTGAACGCTGGTTTCAACGCTTTAAAAATGATGATTTCGATGTGAAAGACAAAGAACATCCAGGTCAACCGAAAAAGTTTGAAGACCAATAATTACAAGCATTATTGGATGAAGATGCGTGTCAAACTCAAAA